TGTCGCCTCCTGTCCCACGAGACTCTTCTCTGGCACCACCGTCTTGGTCACCCCTCCCTGCCTCGTCTCCGAGGCATGGCCTCTCGTGTCCTGGTCTCTGGTCTCCCCCGGTCGCTCCCTCCCCTCCCTCCGGGGCCTGCCCCTACCTGCGTCCCCTGCGTCGAGGGGCGGCAGCGCGCCGCTCCTCACTCCTCCGAGTTTCCGCCGACAGAGGCTCCGCTACAGACTCTTCACATGGACGTGTGGGGCCCAGCCCGCGTCCGTGGACAGGGTCACGAGCGTTACACTACAGTCTTCCCCTTGCGCCGCAAGGATGAGGTCACTGAGGTGTTGATCGACTGGATCCGCGCGGCTCGTCTCCAGCTCAGGAAGAGTTTCGGCTCGGACTTTCCTGTTCTGCGTCTGCACTCTGACAGAGGTGGAGAGTTTTCCTCCGGCCCTCTGCGAGCCTTCTGTCGTGCGAGGGGCATCCGCCAGACGTTCACGCTTCCGGCCTCTCCGCAACAAAATGGGATTGCTGAGCGCCGCATTGGCATGGTCATGGATGTCGCTCGCACGTCCATGATCCATGCGGCTGCTCCCCATTTTCTGTGGCCGTTTGCGGTTCAGTACGCGGCGCGTCAGATCAACCTTCAGCCCCGGGTCTCCATGCCGGACACCTCCCCCACTCTGAGGTGGACGGGGCAGGTTGGCGATGCGTCTGCGTTTCGTGTCTGGGGATCTCGGGCTTTTGTCCGAGACTTGTCTACGGACAAGCTGTCCTCCCGTGCTGTTCCCTGCGTCTTCCTTGGCTTCCCCCCTGACGCGCCTGGTTGGCAGTTTTACCACCCCACCTCGCACCGTGTTCTGTCCTCCCAGGAAGTCACATTTGACGAGTCGGTTCCGTACTACCGTCTCTTCCCCTACCGCGCTGCCCCTCTTCCCCCCCCGCCGCTCTTCCTTACGCCAGGTCCCCCCCCGGTAGACCCCCTCCCCCCTCAGGGTCCTGCTCCTTCAAGTGTGTCTCAGGTAGACCCCCCCCCCTTGGCTGAGCCTTTGGAGGTCACTTCCGACACCTCTGGCCCACCTGAGGGGGGTGACGCTGTTGCTGACGCCCCGGCGGCCTACCGCCGCGCACCACGCTTGGAGACCCCTCCGGGGTTCCCTCCGCGACCTTCTTCGCCGCCTCTGCAGCCGGTTCCTGTTGACTCTGGTGCTGTTGGGGGTGGTGCTCCTGGAGGTGCTGCGTCTGGGGGTGCGGAGTCTGGGGGTGCTGAGTCTGGGGGTGCTGAGCCTACGCGTGAGGAGACTGGAGGTCCTGCGCCTGGGGGTGCTGTGTCTGGGGGTACTGAGCCTGTGTGTGCGGAGTCTGGGGGTGCTGAGTCTGGAGGTGAGACGCTTGAGGGTAATGGGACAGCTGGTGTGCGGCCTACTTGGAGTGGCCGCCTTCGTCCGCGTGTGCCTCTCACCACTCAGCAGCTGCACGACTGGTACGGTCGTCGTCAGGGTCGCGCTGCTGGAGCCCGGGGCTCTGCTGCTGGAGGTACTGGAGCTACTGGGGCTGGGGGTGCTGCGCCTGGAGGTGCCGTTGCTGGAGACACTGAGGCTGGCGACCCTGGGACTGGAGGTGCTGGTTCTGGGGGTGCTGCTGCGGGAGACGCTGCGGTTGGAGACCCTGGGACTGGAGGTGCTGGTTCTGGGGGTGCTACTGCGGGAGACACTGCGGTTGGAGGCCCTGGGACTGGAGGTGCTGGTTCTGGGGGTGCTGCTACGGGAGACACTGCGGTTGGAGACCCTGGGACTGCAGGTGCCGGTTCTGGGGGTGCTGCTGCTGGTGACGCTGGTTCTGGAGCTACTGGCGCTGGAGGTACCGGTTCTGAGGCTGGAGCTTCTGGAGCTGCTGGAGCTGCTGGAGGCACTGGAGCTGCTGGAGGTGCTGGAGCTACTGGTGCTGGTGCAGCTACGCCGACACGACTGTTCTTCGCTCCGCCGTCTCCGTCGTCCCTGCCGCCGCCTGACTCTGCTCTTCGTCAGGTTGTTACTCTCCCGTCGTCTACTGGTCTTCCGTTACAGACTGGCTCACCGCTACCTGCTCCCTCTCCTTACACTGAGCAGACAGGCAGTCCTGCTGAGCGTCGTGAGCCTGCGTCGCGTCCTGTCTCGCCTGTTCGTTCTGGTCGTACCGTTCGTCGTGTCGCTCGTGCGCGTCAGCCGGCTGTCCCCAGCGCACACCTTGTTGTCCGTCGTCCTTCCTCTGCTCCACGGCCTATTCCTCTGCCGTCTCCCCCTGCGTCCTCTCTACCGGTCGTTCTGGACCCTGAGTCTGACCGGTTTCGTACTGAGCACCCTACTGTCACGCGTCTCCTAGCCACTGTTGTCACTGACCCGTCGTTTGAGTCTACTGCTGCGTCTGCCTTGGTCGCTGAGCTTGTTGACTTTGCTGCTGCCTGTCGTCTTGACTACGCCGCTAGTCTTGTTGCTGAGTCTGAGTCTGTCTGTCCTCCGTTCGTCGGGGGTGAGTGTGCTCTTAGCACGGACGTCCTTGAGGACAGGCAGGAGGAGTTCCAGTGTCTTGCTGCTGCTTTACCTCATCTTGTGTCCTCGCTACTTGCCCCTGAGGGAGACCCGGATGCACCAGACATCCCAACTCCGCGGTCTTACGCGGAGGCGGTAGAGGGTCCCTACTCCTCTCAGTGGCAGGCAGCCATGGACGCAGAGATGGCTTCCTGGAAGTCCACAGGCACCTACGTTGACGAGGTTCCCCCACCTGGGGCGAACATCGTCAGTGGTATGTGGATCTTCAGGGTGAAGCGGCCGCCGGGTTCTCCGCCTGTCTTCAAGGCGCGTTATGTGGCTCGAGGCTTCAGTCAGCGGCAGGGAGTTGACTACTTTCAGACCTTCTCTCCCACCCCGAAGATGACCACTCTTCGGGTTCTGCTACACATAGCCGCTCACCGTGACTACGAGCTTCACTCTCTGGACTTCAGCACAGCTTTCCTACAGGGCAGCCTGCACGAGGAGATCTGGCTGCGCCGCCCACCTGGCTTCACTGGGACGTTTCCTCCTGGCACCCAGTGGAGCCTCTGGCGGCCAGTCTACGGTCTCCGCCAGGCGCCGCGTGAGTGGCACGACACACTGAGGACTACGCTTGCGGCTCTTGGGTTTGCTCCTTCTACTGCCGACCCGTCGCTGTTTCTGCGCACCGACACCTCTTTGCCGCCGTTCTACATCCTCGTGTACGTCGACGACTTGGTCTTTGCTACAGCTGACACTGCTGGACTCGCCCACGTGAAGTCCGAGCTGCAGAAGCGACACACGTGCACAGACCTGGGTGAACTGCGCAGCTACCTTGGCTTGCAGATCACCCGGGACAGAGCACGGCGCACCATTACACTGTCTCAGTCACACATGGTGCAGCAGGTCCTTCAGCGCTTCGACTTCACGTACTCCTCGCCTCAGGCCACTCCTCTGTCTACTCGCCACTCGCTCTCAGCTCTGCCTTCGGATGAGTCCGTAGAGCCGAGTGGCCCGTACCCAGAGCTTGTTGGCTGCCTCATGTACCTGATGACCTGCACACGACCTGACCTTGCATACCCTCTTAGCATCCTGGCACGCTATGTTGCTCCTGGGAGACACCGACCAGAGCACATGGCTGCAGCGAAGAGGGTGTTGCGCTACTTGTGCAGTATGTCGGGCATGGGGCTAGTGCTTGGAGGGTGAGGAGAGTCCGGTGGTCCTCACTGGTCACGCAGACGCTTCTTGGGTTGACGACCTGGCTACTCAGCGGTCGTCACAGGGTTACACCTTCAGCCTTGGTTCCGGCTCTGTTTCGTGGCGGTCTACTCGCTCGTCGTCTGTTCTCAGCTCTAGCTGTGAGGCTGAGATCTACGCAGGGGCCATGGCTGCACAGGAGTTACGCTGGCTTACCTACCTGCTGACTGACCTGGGAGAGCCGCCTCATTCTCCTCCAGTTCTGTACGTAGACAACAAGGCAATGCTGGCCTTGTGTCGGGAGCACAGACTGGAGCACAGAACGAAGCACATTGCTCTCCGCTACTTCCTTGCACGTGAGCTGCAGCAGCGTGGTCAGCTGCGCCTTGCTTACGTGGCCACTCGGGCCAACACTGCTGATATCTTCACCAAGGCACTTCCGCCTGGTGATCATCAGCGCTTCTGTACGATGCTAGGTCTTGTGCCCACTTGGCCTCACTTGCTCACTTCTTGACCTTGCTTGTACTGTGTTTTCTATATACCTGCTCTTGCTTGTTTGTCTTTATATATAATCCTGCATGTGAACTGGCCTTGTGTGTCAGAGGTCCACTGGGGATCCCCGATGATCCTAGGGAAGGGTTACAGGCATGTCGGCCTGGGGGGTTATGGGCGCACTCACCCGCTACTTAAACAAGCCCTTTTATCCCAGTGGTTAGTGGCTGGGATTCTGACATGGTATCAGAGCGAAGGTCTCGGGTTCGATTCCCGGTGTGTGCACCTCGGGCATCCCAGTGCGGGGGGGTGTCAGAGGTCCACTGGGGATCCCCGATGATCCTAGGGAAGGGTTACAGGCATGTCGGCCTGGGGGGTTATGGGCGCACTCACCCGCTACTTAAACAAGCCCTTTTATCCCAGTGGTTAGTGGCTGGGATTCTGACATTGTGGCCTTGACCTTGTGCTCAGATTTTGTGGTGACGTTGTGATCCACTCTGAGCTTGCTTTGCTTGATTGGTTTTGAGGCCTTCAGGTCTTCCCCACTTTGCCTATGGGGGTGTGTCAAGCATATAACATTGATTATATAGGCTGTAGTGGGTTAGACTCTAGAGAGTATAGGGTTGTTACTTGTTTCTCTCATTTTCCTTAGTGCATCATCCTCTCGAACTTCACAATAAGCGCCATGCTCCAGATATAAGCGCCGGCGAGAAGCGCCTTTAATAGGACGGCACCTATATCCGGGGCCATACGGTAGATGCAAAATATCAAGAGTTATTCGCTCATATATTATAAAATACTGATGCAATAGAAATCTGTCATGTAGTGCGGCGAAGAATGTTTCGAATTACTCGTCCCACCTCCTCTCCATAATCTTCCTGAGCATGATGCCCCACCTGCCCGAAAAGTAATTCATGCAGGGAATAAAAGAAGCAAACAATGTGATGACAGAGGAAGGAAAATAAAGCCGAGCTGGAAGAAAGAAATCAGGGGTGCAAAGAGTGGGATAGTCGGCAGTACACATGTGGGGACAGCTTGATGAAAGTTAAGGGATGCTTCTGCAACCTCAAAAACGCATAAGAAAACATCTACACCTCAATTCCTTATACTCACCTCGTCACAAGCACCGCCCCTGCTGCTCTGCACGCTTCCCTGACCCCGTCAAACGACTGCCAGCGGTCCTTCATGCCCCACATGACAGTGGCTGAGGAGGAGGGTTGGGCTGGCGTGACATCTACATCTCATCTTCTCTTCTCATCTACCACTCGCCTCGTCTAATGTGACCAGATGCTGAAGGGTTTTTTTGAGAATTCTCATGATGCTGAAGGGTTTTTTTGAAAATTCTCAAAAAAACCCTTCTGGCGTGGCATCTACATCTCATCTTCTCTTCTCATCTACCACTCGCCTCGTCTAATGTGACCAGCACTGCCTGCTGCATGCACGCTTCCCGGACCACATCAAAGCACTGCCAGCGGTCCTTCATTCCCCAACTGACGGTGGTTGAGGAGGAGGGGACGGCTGGCGTGGCATCTACATCTCATCTTCTCTTGACCTCTCACCTCGTCTAATGTGACCAGCACCGCCCCTGCTGCTCTGCACGCCTCTCTGACCCCGTCAAACGACTGCCAGCGGTCCTTCTTGCCCCACATGACCGTGGGTGAGGAGGAGAGAACTGACGTTTCCTCTATACTCACCTCGTCTAGAGTGACCAGCACTGCACCAGCCGCTCTGCACGCCTCTCTGACCCCGTTAAACGACTGCCAGCGGTCCTTCATGCCCCAAATAACGGTGGCTGAGGAGGAGGGCTGGGCAGAGACGGCTGAGAGGGCCTTGGCGACCAGGGGGAGTGACGCCTGGGGGGTGGGGGGGGGGCAAGGGAGAGAAGGGAGCAACAAAAAACACAGTCAACTCAAAACCCGTTTCTCAAACTCTAAGCCCAGACGTTGCAGGTGGCTTTTGAAGTTTCAAAAAAAAAAATCCCTGAAACCCATACCCCAAACTCTAATCCCAGAGCAAAGCCTGAAGCGCAGTTACACACTCACAAGGCGACAATCAGCAGGTAGAGAGGGCAGTAACATACCCCCTTGCTCACCCCGGTGCTCACCTCGGGATTTTTCTGGAAGTCTCGGGTGATGGCTGTAAGAGCAAAGCCCGATGCTCCACTGGCAAGGTAGGGAGCGAACAGAGAAAACCTATCTCAACCGCTCTGCATACCTTGAGATCCTTCTGAAAGGCTCGTGTGACGGCTGTGAGAGCAAAGCCCGATGCTCCACTAGCGAGGTAGGGCCGGCGAACAGAGAAAACCCATCTCAACCGCTCTGCATACCTTGAGATCCTTCTGGAAGGCTCGGGTGATAGCTGTGAGGGCAAACCCCGATGCTCCACTGGCAAGGTAAGGTCGGCGGTACACCATGGCATCCTCCTCGTCAACTAAGTAACAGCCCGCCTCCTCCAGTACCCTGTCGCTGGCCCTCAGTGGGTCCTGAATTGGTGAAGGGAGAGGCGTGAGTGAAGAGAAGGGATTGAGGAAGGGAGGGAGATGCATCACTGGCAAGGCAGGGCCGGCGATACACCATGGCATCCTCCTCATCGATTAAATAACAGCCCGCCTCCTCCAGTACCCTGTCGCTGGCCCTCAGTGGGTCCTGAATTGGTGAAGGGAGAGGAGTGAGTGAAGAGAAGGGATTGAGGAAGGGAGGGAGATGCATCACTGGCAAGGCAGGGCCGGCGATACACCATGGCATCCTCCTCATCGATTAAATAACAGCCCGCCTCCTCCAGTACCCTGTCGCTGGCCCTCAGTGGGTCCTGAATTGGTGAAGGGAGAGGAGTGAGTGAAGAGAAGGGATTGAGGAAGGGAGGGAGATGCATCACTGGCAAGGCAGGGCCGGCGATACACCATGGCATCCTCCTCATCGATTAAATAACAGCCCGCCTCCTCCAGTACCCTGTCGCTGGCCCTCAGTGGGTCCTGAAAGGCAGGAGGCAGCAAAGGGAGCACGGGAGGTGAGGCACTTGCAAGGTAGGGCCAGCGGCACACCATGGCATCCTGCTCGTCTATCAAGTAACAGCCCGCCTCCTCTAGCACTCTGTCACTGGCTCGCAGAGGATCCTGCCCGCCCCAGGTGAAAGGGGGAGAGCAGAGGTGAGAGCAAGGGAGGTGAGGCACTGGCATGGCAAGGTAGGGCCGGCGGTACACCGTTGCATCCTGCTCATCTATTAGATAGCACCCTGCCTATTCCAATACACGGTCGCTGGCCCTCAGAGGGTCCTGCCAGCAGCAAGAGGAGAAAGGGGGAACAGGAAGCACGGGAGGTTAGGCACTGGCAAGGTAGGGCCGGCGGTACACCATAGCATCCTGCTCGTCGATCAGGTAACAGCCTGCTTCGTCCAGTACCCGACCCTGTCCCTGGGCCTTAGAGGGTCCTGCGAGCACAATGTGAAGGGGGAGGTGATGGGAGGGAGAGGCAGATGAGGCACTGACTGGCAAGGAAGGGCCGGCGGGACACCATGGCACCCTTCTCCTCGTCGATCAGATAGCACCCTACCAGGGCGAAGTTCTCTCCAAGAAGGAAGATGGGCAGGTTGAGCCGAGAGGCTCGAGGGCAGGTTGGGCAGGCATGCAGGCAGGTACCAGTAGGTACTGCATACAAACACGCATCAGACCGTACCTGGGCAAAAATCTCTCCAAGCAGGAAGTTGGAGAATGCAGAGAGGCACGCTATCAGCTTGGCGTGCATACCAGGGCATGTCTATCGAGTAGGCAGGAAGCAAGTAGCAGCAGATACACATGCAGCAAGTGGGCCGTACCTGCGCAAAGATCTCTCCGAGCAGGAAGTTGGAGAAGGCCGAGAGGCACGAGGGCAGCTTGGCATGCTTTTCTGTGATCTGATTGGTTGGGAGGGGGGAGGGGACGGGGGTTGTGGGAGGAGAGAGGGGTGAGACAGCAGCAGGGAGCAAACACAGTCAAGAACATGAGGCTGAGAGGCAGGAGGGCAGCTTGGCATGCTTCTCTGTGATCTGATTGGTTGAGGGGGGGGCGAATAGGGGGTGGGTTCAGGTTGAAGGGAGGGAAGCTGAAGCAGAAGAGGGCAGAGGAAAAAGCAGAAGCAAGTATTCGGTAATCGATTTTAGATCATGCGTGGAACGAGGGATAGGCAAGCGTTTGGACCCTGCTTTTTTATGCGAAAAGCAGCTTAGAAACAAATCAAGAAGTAGGGGAAAAAAAGGTAGAGCTTTGAAGTAGAGAGATATTCTTATCCACGTGTACAAGTAATGCAGCGATTTTTGAGTCGACTCAAAAAGTCACCTTGAAAACGATTGTAGAGCTGCTAACTAGAGGAAAACTTTACATGTGCACAAGTAATATTCTCTCCTTGGTGCATAAGCATCTTGTTTACAGCATGAGCATGAATGTGTGGCGCTTATCTCCTGCTGGACATTTATGACATTCAGATGGGTCAGTTGGTGACACTCTGACACTTAGCTGTGACACTTAGCTGTGACACCTACAGGTGGGTTGATAAATATGAGGTGGCGAATTCGGGCAGGGTTGGACAACACAAATTCTGCAGCGGGCAGACAAAAGTATCCCTGTGAGGGACAACGAGTAGGGCAGAGGGAAAGAAAACAGAAAGGGATGAAGAGGCATCAGATACAGCACGAAAAGAGAGAATGACTTTTGAGTCGACTCTCAAGTCAACACAGGAACGGGTGAAGAGGCGTCACATACAGCACAAAAAGGAGAATGACTTTTGAGTCGACTCTAAAGTCAACACGGGAACGGATGAAGAGGCGTCACATACAGCACGAAAAGGAGAATGACTTTTGAGTTGACTCTAAAGTCAACACGGGAACGGATGAAGAGGCATCACATACAGCACGAAAAGGAGAATGACTTTTGAGTCGACTCTAAAGTCAACACGGGAACGGATGAAGAGGCATCACATACAGCACGAAAAGGAGAATGACTTTTGAGTCGACTCAAAAGTCAAAACGGAAACGGATGAAGAGGCATCAGTGACAGCACAGAATAGAGAATGCGGGAGAACCGTGCTTTCTCACATTCAGAAGAAAGGCCAATGAGTGAGAAATTTTCATACGAGCACCCCTTACCTGAGTTACAACAGAAAGACCAAGGTGGCTTCTGAGTCGACTCAAAACATGGCTTTTGGCTTTTGGCTTTGCATACGAGCACCCCTTACCTGAGTTACAATAATAGAGAGACCAACCATGCCCAACGTTGCCTCCAGGTGACTTATTAGTCGACTCAAAAGTCACCTCCTTTCCATACGAGCACCCCTTACCTGAGTTACAATAATAGAGAGACCAACCAGGCCCATCGTCACCACCAGGTGACTTATTAGTCGACTCAAAAGTCACCTCCTTTCCATACGAGCACCCCTTACCTGAGTTACAATAATAGAGAGACCAACCAGGCCCATCGTCACCACCAGGTGACTTATTAGTCGACTCAAAAGTCACCTCCTTTCCATACGAGCACCCCTTACCTGAGTTACAATAATAGAGAGACCAACCAGGCCCATCGTCACCACCAGGTGACTTATTAGTCGACTCAAAAGTCACCTCCTTTCCATACGAGCACCCCTTACCTGAGTTACAATAATAGAGAGACCAACCAGGCCCATCGTTACCACCAGGTGACTTATTAAACGACTCAAAAGTCGCCTCCTTTTCATACGAGCACCCCTTACCTGAGTTACAATAATAGAGAGACCAACCAGGCCCATCGTTGCCTCCAGGTGTCTTTTGAGTCGACTCAAAAGTCACCTCCTTTTCATACGAGCACCCCTTAATTGAGTTACAATTATAGAGATTCCAACCATGCCCAACGTTGCCTCCAGCCTTGAGTTGATTTTTGAGGCGCCTCAAAAATCGTTGGCTTTCCGTACGAGCACCCCTTACTTGAGTTACAGTTATAGAGAGACCAACCAGGCCCATCGTTGCCTCCAACCTCCCCCCAGCTCCCCTCCAATGCTCCGCTCCACTTTCCCTTCTCTCACTGCTACCACTGATCCCTCACTCCCTCAATCCCTTGATCCCTTCTTACCAGTGAAAATCTATCTGAGGCCCATCGTTGCCTCCAGCCTCCCGAACCCCCGAACCTCTTCTGGTCTCCACACAAACCCGTACCCCTTCTGGTCCAAACGACTCAGACTTCTTGTGAAGGTTCCTCACTAGAGCCACAACAGAAACACTGTCCAGTCCCATCGCTGCCACCAGCCTTCCCACCTCCCGTGCATAGTCACTCGGGGAATTCCCCGCCCTTACAATCCGCCTCATTCCCTCACCTGAGCTGCAATCGAAACATCCTCCACTCCCATTGTTGCCACCAGGCTCCTAATTTCCCATGAATGGTCACTCGGAGAACACCCGAACACCTTCTGGTCTGATATTACCTTAGCCCCTGCCCTTCACTGCCTCGACTGACCTGCTATAGAAACATCTCCCAGGCCCATCGTTGCCTTGCCACCAGCCTTCCCACCTCCCGTGCATACTCACTCGGGGAATGCCATCATCATCGTCTGGTCTGCTGGTTCCGTCATCTCTATCCCTCACCCCCTGCCCTTCACTGCCTCGACTGACCTGCTATAGAAACATCTCCCAGGCCCATCGTTGCCTTGCCACCAGCCTTCCCACCTCCCGTGCATACTCACTTGGGGAATGCCATCATCATCGTCTGGTCTGCTGGTTCCGTCATCTCTATCCCTCACCCCCTGCCCTTCACTGCCTCGACTGACCTGCTATAGAAACATCTCCCAGGCCCATCGTTGCCTTGCCACCAGCCTTCCCACCTCCCGTGCATACTCACTTGGGGAATGCCATCATCATCGTCTGGTCTGCTGGTTCCGTCATCTCTATCCCTCACCCCCTGCCCTTCACTGCCTCGACTGACCTGCTATAGAAACATCTCCCAGGCCCATCGTTGCCTTGCCACCAGCCCAGCTCGCGTGAATAGTCGCTCGGGGAATACCCAAACCTCTTCTGCACTGATATGAGCTGCAAGTACCTTAACCAAGTATCTTCACTCCTTCCCTTTTCACCTGAGCCACAATGGAAACTTCCCCGACTCCCATCATTGCCACCAGGTTTCCAAGCTCCCGAGCATAGTCACTTGGGGATACCCGAACCTTTTCCCTCAGTCACCCCTTTCCCTTCACTGCCACTCTCATTCGCTCACCTGAGCTACAATAGAAACATCCTCCAATCCCATCGTTGCCACCAGGTTTCCAAGTTCCCGAGCGTAGTCGCTCGGGGAATACCCGAACCTCTTCTGGTCCGCCTGGGGCTTATCCGAGCCTCCGAAACCGAGCCAATCCGGCGCAATGCACCGCACACCAATCGCCTCCTCCGAACCCGACCCTCCAGCTTCGGCCGAACCTCCTCCTGATGCTGCCGCTGCTGCACTGCTGGCGAGGGCGAAGGTACCGGGGTTGATGGTGTTGATAACTTGGCGAAAGGAGTAGCTGTGAGAGGGGAGGCCGTGGAGGAGGAGGAGAGGAGGGGAGGGGGAGGAGGGAGAGTCGGGTTCGTCTCTCTGAGTGTCAATGACAAACCACCTGCAGTGAATGGGAGCAAGGCGGGAAAGAAAGAACAGGGGAAGTGCTGAGGGCGAAGGTCCCAGGGTTGATGGTGTAGATGACTTGGCGGAAGGAGTAGCTGTGAGAGGGGAGGCCGTGGAGGAGGAGGAGAGGAGGAGGAGAGGAGGAGGAGAGGAGGAGGGGAGGAGGGGGAAGAGGGAGATTCTTGTTCACCTGCTTGTGTGTCGATGACAAACCACCTGCAGTGGGTGGGAGCAAGGAGGAAAGGAGGAGGAAGGGGGGAAAGGAGGGGCAAGAAGGGAAGAAACAGAACGGAGAGGGCAGAAGCAAGTAAGTCCCAGGGTTGATGGTGTTGATAACTTGGCGGAAGGAGTAGCTGTGAGTGGGGAGGCCGTGGAGAAGGAGGAGAGGAGGGGAGGAGAGGAGGAGAGGAGGAGAGGAGGAGAGGAGGAGAGGAGGAGGAAGAGGAGGAGGAAGAGGAGGAGGAAGAGGAGGAGGAGGCTGGTTCATCTGTTTCTGTGTCTATGACACACCACCTGCAGTGGGTGGGAAGAAAAGGGGGGAAGTAAAGAGCAAGAGGCAGAGGGGCAGAAGCAAGGAGCAAGGGGCAGAGTAAAGAGGCAGGGGTGGTGGTGGCTGGTTCATCTGCTTTTGTCTTGATGACACACCACCTGCAGTGGGTGGGAGAAAGGGGAAAAGGGGGCAAGGGGGGCCAAAGCAAGGAGCAACGAGAGGAGACGTTAGTGGCAGGAGGCAGGGGTGGTGGTGGCTGGTTCGTCTGCTTCTGTGCCGATGACACACCACCTGCAGTGGATGGGGAGCGAGGAGGGCAAAGGGGAGCAAGAGGCAGAGGGGCAGAAGCAAGGGGCCGAGTAAAGAGGCAGGGGTGGTGGTGGCTGGTTCGTCTGCTTGTGTGCCAATGACACACCACCTGCACCTCCAGCACTGCCCCTGCTTTCCCCTTCACCCCTGCTCCCCCTTCCCCTGCTGCCCCTTCTCCCCCCAGCCCTTCATGCACCCCCCCTGATTTCCCCTCCCCCCGCCCTCCCTTCCCAGTGGCTCTGTCAGCCACCAGCTTCCCGCCCTTCTGGAAATTCACCTGAGGACCCACCTGAGAACCTGGGGAATCACCTGAAAAGCCACCTGAGAACCCACCTGAGCCCCTCAGAGGAAGCCTGAAAGCCCTCCCCCATCTTCAAACCGAACACAGGATCCCGGACCTCCCTCCCTGCTCCCTCCCTTCCCCAATTCCACTCCATTCTCCCTCACCTGAGCCCCTCTGAAGAGGCCTGAAAGCCCTCCCCCATCCTCAGCCCAAACACAGGGTCCCGCACCTCCTGCACCGCCCCTGCTGCCCCTTGTCCCCCCTTTCCCTCCCACTCCGCTGCAATGCAACCCTTCCCCATTAGCAGTCCGAACTCACCTGAGCCACTCAGCCGAGGCCTGAAAGCCCTCCCTCATCCTCAGCCCGAACACAGGATCCCGCACCTCCTGCACTGCCCCTGCTGCCCAGTAAACCCCCTTCTGCTGCCTGATATGAGGCGAGTATTGACGCGCCTCAAAGCTCACCTGAGCCCTTCAGAGGAAGCCTGAAAGCCCTCCCCCATCTTCAAACCGAACACAGGGTCCCGCACCTCCTGCACTGCCCCTGCTGCCCCGTCCCCCCCTGCCCGTCATGCCCTCCCCGTAACTTTCCCCCCTCCCTCCACCCCAACTGCACTCCCTTCTTTCACACACCTGACTCTGCCGCCTCCCTTCTTGTGCGCCCCCCGCCATCTGATCCCTCTGCTAAACCCTCAAAAACCACCTGGAAATTCACCTGAGAACTCACCTGAGCCCCTCAGAGGAAGCCTGAAAGCCCTCCCCCATTTTCAGCCCAAATACAGGATCCCGCACCTCCTGCACTGCCCCTGCTGCCCCTTCCCCTCCCGCCACCACCACCACCCTCCCCCGCTCCTCCCACTCCTCCGCCCTGCCCCCTCCTTCGGCGTATTTCCCTGTGGAAAGGGGAGGAAGGGGAGGAGGAAGTTACAGGATTCAGAATACACACCCCTGCTGCCCCTTCCCCCCTACCAGCCACCACCACCACCCTCCCCCGCTCCTCCCACTCCTCCGCCCTGCCCCCTCCTTCCGAGTATTTCCCTGTGGGAAAGTGCAGGACGAAAGGGGAAGGGGAGCAAGGGGTATACAGAATTTAGATCTCCCTTCCCCTGCTGCTACCCTTTCCCCCTTTCAACCACCACCACCACCCTCCCTTGCTCCTCCCACTCCTCCGCCCTGCTGTCTCCCTCCGCGTATTTCTCGGTGAGAAAGGGGGAAAGGAAGACCTTGGAGGTTGGGGTATACAGGAATCAGATTTCTGTCCTCCCTCCGCCCTTCCCCCCATCGCTGCCACCACCAGATCACCCTCCCTCTCCTCCCACTCCCCCGTCCTGCCCCCCCCTTCAGCATATTCCCCTGTGTGAAAAGGCGGGAATGGGAGAAAGAGGGTGGAGCTCTCCTGTTGCCTGCTTCTCTGTTGCCTTTCCGACTTTTGAGGCGCCTCAAAAGGCGGGGATGGGAGAAAGAGGATACTGCTCTCCTGTAGCCGCTTCTCTGTTGCCTTCCCCCCCCTCCCGTCCACTCTCGCCCTGCCCCCACCTGCATTGCGAGCGCCAGCAACCTATGCGAGGAGAGGAGGAGGAGAATTAAGGGAAAAAAAAAATTTCAAATTCCCCCTATTTATTGCTTCTCGGTCCCGTTCTCACCCTATGACCAACTCTCGCCCTGCCACCACCTGCATGACGAGTGTCAGCCAATGCGAGAGGCCCAGATCCATTCGTTAGCAGCATTCGCGATAGTAGCACTAGAATCTAAGCAAAATCGTATATGAAACAGTAGAGTTAGCTAAATTTGTGCCAGGAACACTCGAATTGGCAACATTTGAATCAGTAACCCTTGAACCGGCAACATTTGTGCCAGCAGCGGCATGCGTACCGCCAACAAACGAGAAGCCGTCGCCGACTGATACGGGCGCGTCGATTAATCCACTGCCGTCGTCGTCATCCTCGATATAGAAATTCCCGTTATCGTCCTCGTCCACATACAGCGATCTCACAATGTGTACAGGTCCGCGACTAGCAGCAAAAAGACTGCGTGGAGCACCCGAGCTACTAACGCGGATAATGTTACGCAGCTTGCTGCCGTGAAATGCCGAATGCGGCACGCCGCGTGAAGGAGTACGCCGGCCAGCGTGGCTCAGGACGGGCTGACGTGCTCTTGGCCGCCACGTGGCATTTGGGAGCTGACATTGCTGGGCAGACGGAAAAGCTGACGTCAAGCCGGTTACTGGGCTTCGCGCCGCGATGGACGACGCGAGAGTCGCCATGTCAACCCGTACGCTACGGCAAGAGTCTGGGCTGCAGCAATTAGCATACTAGCGATTGCATATTTGCGCTAAGGTGTATACGTTTGTGATACAGAAAACATGATTCAAACAGATTATGCATATATGTTTCCTCCATTAAAAAGCCAAAGTCAATTTCAGTCATTCATGAATCACATTCTCTTTCTTATATCGAGCCGATTCGTTACTAGCATTGAAACTGTCTGAGATCCAGCAGAGGCAAAGCGAAAGCGCACGATTTTGAATGAGGTGACATTTCGCAAAATCTCGACTGCGGGAATTATGGACGTTTGGGGTGCGCGGTGCCGTCAACGATTCTGACAAACAAGCGAAATGCTCCGTCAGGGACAACAAACGTGGAGCGAAATTCGCAGCCGTCGTCGCGCGGAGCTTTGACGAGCGCCACGGTTTGCGCACCGCACCCATCACCATAGCGCATTTCACATTCATAACTGACGGGAACAGAAACTTTGGCTGCCCGTATACTTTCCAAATTATTCTCGCCCAATCAGGGACTCACCACTTGGCATTTACGCGAGTTGAACTGGCCTTTCGGAAGATCGTAGAGGTGAAATTGCGCAAGGGGTTAGCGGAAATCGTCAACGCGAGTTGGAATCTGACCGAAAGGGGACGGAACTGAACGGAACGGAAGCATCGGGCGGCACCTCTCCTTCACATCCACAACCGAATCGTACATCTCGAGGCGCACGGTCCAATGCGAAATTGAGCTGATCACACCAAATACGTCGACCGTGCGCAGTCGAGATTTTGATGGGCCGAGCTTCGCAAACTTCAGAAAGCTTCCACGCAATTTTGTTCCTCCTGAGAGAACAACTCATGCACCCCTTTCCACCCAACCCAAACCCACTCTTTACCACCACGACTCCCATGAGAGACAAATTGGCGCAAAATACTAGAGGCAAGGCAATCCGCTGCCCAATGGAGCACAGGACGATTGCACGTTCCATTCAACCCAACAGCGCAGTTTCAGCCCCCGTGCCACAAATTGGCACCCTTCCTCCCCTCCCCACACCTTTCGCAAGCATCCACGTGAACCTCCAAGAGCCAGCGCGACACGGGGCCGGACTAGCGCTTGTCCGTGCGGCTCTTGGAAGGAAAGCCAGGGCGAGGCGACCTGCGGGGGAGCCATCAATCTTTTTGTGAAATTAGACCGCATCGAAATTCTGGTCTGAACCCGCAAAGGATACCAAAGCCCGAGTCTAGCTGATCGAGCCGCAGTAGGCAGAGCGCTACTAGCGCCCGAGTCAGGTCAGGTAGGCTCCTTGAGTCCCAGCTCCCCCAAGTCCCCAGTCCCCACGAGCCTACGTGTCCTCTCGAGTCCCGACCCGACCCTAGTTCTGGAGGCATTCGCCTCTGGAAGTAGCGCGGGTAGTACTAGTAGAAACGCCTCCCCTGTTACAGGTTGAGCGACGTGCTGGAGTGAGACCAACCCCGTCTCCCCTTCGGTCTTTTAGACATCGCTTTCTGAGGCGCCTCAATAAGCAGAGCCCATCTCCCAGAGGCTGTTCGTTCGTTCGTTATCGCGAGACGTGCTTAGAGCAACACCCATTCGGTCTTTGAGGGCTCGCCCCGACTTTCCAGGTGAAAGCTCTCCCCACAGCTTTCATTCTCGACGGATAGGCCGGACTTGTCTGTCGTGGCCTTGTCGTGCCGCCCTCCTGGCTCTCTGAAGCTTTTCCCCTGGCCTCTCATCGCCCTGTGCCTCTCATCTCCCTGTGCGCTCATCGCCTAGTTCCTCCCTTCAGGCTAATCATTCACCTCCCTCACTGCCACTTTCTCCTGGCGCTCTTGCTGCGGCAGCTCTCTTGCAGGAGTTCCCTCTTAGCGCCTCTATACACGCAATCCTTTCCAAACAACCCTCATTTCAAGCGTCGCGCACCCAAGCAGACGCGTCGACCCAGCATCTCCCTATCGCAGCGAAACCTCTTACATACACGCTGTCACCCCTGACGGCCGTAATCCGTGAGCGTAGCCTCCTCGCAATACGTTCAGAACCTCTTACGTGCCCAGCCACATATGCATACTAGTACGTCCCGCGTTGCGTCCGAAAATGCTGCAACTCACTCGTAGTAGTCGTTAGTAGCCCTCACTCCGGGACACCTGGTTCCCAAGGTGCGGGGCGACGGTCCATACCCGTTCTGAGGAGCCGCGGTAAACGGGACAGACAAACTCTCGCTTTACTCTCAGACAGTAACCGAGCTGCACTGCAAATGATATATCGGCGGACAAAGCACAACACTTTCCGCCACAACCACCCACCCGCCATGGGTCCTCCTCGGCGCACATGTTCTCCGCCATCGCGCTTTCCCCCCGTCTCCCGCCTCCGCCTTCCGCTCCGCCTGCTCTCCCCCAACAATCTCCTGCTATGCGTGCTCGCGTCAGTCGTCCTCTCCGCATCGCGCGCCGCAGCATACGGCGCTCCGGGAAGCGCAATGGCCACATTCTACGGCGGGCCCGACGCGTCAGGGACTTGGGGTGCGTTTTGGGTTGGGCTTTCCGGTTGCAAGAGGTTGAGAGGCGTTGAATTGTGCGGTTAATTGCACTTCGGGAAGGTGTAGATTTCTAGGTTCGCCAAACGCTAGATCGAGCCGCCTTCGAGAGCTCCCAAATGCGGGTCATAGCTTGGAGGCAATCGGGCCAGTTTCTACTGCACCCTCAATTCAACTTCGGGGCCGATTCGGTATCCCGGCAATCTCGTATATCTCGACCCCTCCTCTATATCTCTTTGGTATCCAATTCCAGTATTTAACGAAGCGGAAATGGTTTTCGTTGCAGGTGGTAACTGCGGTTACGGCAATCTCGTGCAATCTGGTTACGGCATCCTCGTCGCCGCGGGGAGCCCCCCGCTTTACAAGGGCGGGAATGGATGCGGCGCATGCTACCGGTAAGCTCCCGCTCCTTATTTCGCCTCTGTGACTCGTTAATTCTATAAATTTTTGTGTTATTAGATCCTCAACTCTTCCCCTCCCCCTATTCTCCACCCGCCCCGTGCTTGCTCCCACTCCTGTCCTATCTCCTCTTCTTCGCTACCCCGCGTTATTCCTGTCCTCTCTTTTGTCCCTTATCACAGCATATCGTGTACCAACAGCACGTATTGCAATAAGGGCGTATCCATCGTGGTTGCGATAACGGATCTCTGCCCCGGCGGGGGTTGGTGCTGCCCCACCTGTCGCCACTTCGACTTGAGCGAACCTGCTTTCATCGCGATTGCGAACCGCGCTGCAGGCTTCGTTCCTCTCGCCTACGAACAGTAAGTCTCGGATATGAGCGAAATCGCAATTGAGACATCCACGATCCACTCGGGACTCTTCTGTTTGCTGTCAATGCTACATGACCCCTTATCACCAGGTTTTTTTCTCGGGTAATCTCCCTCAACTAACACTCGTTTTTCATTTCCTTCTTTTTCCACTCACAGAGTGCCATGTGTATTCTCCAATAACATTCGCCTCACCGCTACCGGATCGCCTTTTTGGCTGAACCTCTTGATTCGCCAAGTCGCGGGTCCCGGCGACCTTTCGCTAGTCGAAGTGATGGACTCAAATTCGCCTACGTGGAGACCAATGCGACACGACTGGGGTGCGAACTGGGTGTACGAATCTTTCCTTCAGGCGCCGCTCAAGTTTCGCCTAACTTCGCTCACGGACAACCAGCAGGTGGTTACCACACCCAACTGCCTCCCGGCTGGTTGGATTCCGGCGAAGGACTACGACTGCAACATTCAGTTTTCGTTCCCTGGCGACGGGATGGATGGTAACCACGGGGGCCCACACGGCGACGGAAGCGGATTATCAGATGCCGCTCCCAGGAATCGAACCAAGGTCATTCACCCCAAGAAAAACAAAAAGTCTCCAGCTAAAAGTCCAGGCACCCCCCAGAGTCCGGGCAGCCCCAAAACTCCCGGCAATCCGAAGTCCCCCAGCACCCCAAAGTCCCCGGGTAAATCACCCAGCAAGCCTCCTGCGACTAATTCACCTGGCAAATCGCCTGCCAAACCTCCTTCCAAATCGCCGCCGACTAAGAACGGCAACAACGGAAGCAAGGGCAACAAGAGCGGGAACAACAACGGGAACAACAACGGCAACAAGAATGGCGGAAGCAAGAACACCAATAAAGGCAACAAGAACGGAAGCAACACAAACAACGGCGGTGGCAGCAGCAGTGGTGGGGACAAGCAGGAAGGAGGGCATCCGCCTTACGTTGGGCATCATCCCGACGGGGTGGGCCACAGACCTGCAGGTGTGGGTCACCACAAGCCTCGGAACGGAGGCTCGGCATCAGCTTCGGCGGTGGTTGTAGTTGGGCACCATCCCGAGGGAGTGGGCCACAGACCTGCAGGTGTGGGTCACCACAAGCCTCGACAAGGAGGTTCGGCATCATCAGCAGCGGTTGTACCAGCTGCTCCGAGTGCGCCTGTGGGTGCTGGAGTAAAATCACCAGCTGTGGCAACAACGGCGGCACCACCTGCAACACCACAGCAGTAGCAGTGGCGGTAGCAGTGGCCCCAGCAGTAACGGCACAGCAACAGCTCCTGGAATATGGGAGTTATGTGGCATGGTGGTGAGGTGCTAACCTGGTTCACTAAGGCGCTGCATGGCGCTGCATGGTTGATTATGGTGCTGCATGGTTCACTATGGTGCTGCATGGTTCGTTATGGTGCTGCATGGTTTGCTGCATGGTTAATTATGGCGTTGCATGGTTCATTATGGTGCTGCATGGTTCATTATGGTGGTTCGTTATGGTGCTACACTGTCCTTTACAGGCACAGAAGTAGAATGCACTTTGAGTAAGGTAGGTTCTTGTGTTGTAGGCGTAAGTATCTGGTCACTCTTACTTTTTTCGTTTTACAGACAGGTATGATCTTCTTTAGGCACTACCTGTGGGGCCTTAGGTACTAATCTAGATATAGGCTGCCTCTTTGCATGTGGATGCATGTGCAGCTTTCGCTGCTGGACGGTCGCTTGTATTAATCTTCGCATGCTTTGTGCGATGAAGGCAGCTGTAGCTAACTTGTCGGATGATTATGAAATAAACCATTTGTTGAAATATGTGTTGAACTGTTGCCCATAGATCTGTTGCTTACATTTTTTACCAGGACAGTAGTTGCTTGTTGTACACAAGCTAGAGTGCATCCATGTGCAGTTCATGCATCAACATTCAGGCTAGCTAGTAACGGTTCAGAGCAGATGAGCTCGCTCAATCAATTATTCTCAACAAAGAGTGAGCTGTCTTGATAATAGTGTGGCTCCTAAAGGTGGTTGGTGTGGGAGTGGGATGCAACGAAGATGACTGAATATGACTACCAAAAGCTTATCATGTATCTATAGAGATTCTGTTTTGAGTCTGTCCCGTCTTTAGGGCTCGCGACGCCTTGCGCAATAACGAGTTCTATCACGAAATCCAATTGTGGTGGCATCGGGATTGACCGTTGGCGGGAAACTGTTCTCGTTGCACGAGGAAGTGCTTGCAATTCCTGCTTTGGCTTGACCAGAAAAATGTTTCCCTGCCCTTCCGTAAATCTCAGGAGAAGTCCTGAGATCGAGCGGCCAAAACAGAAGCCTTCAATCTCAACAAATTTCATAATTCTGCCCGCAAAGTATCGGGGCTCGGTAGAAGACAACGGCCCAGTGGCGCAGAGCAGAGCTTCCCAAAGCAGAGCTTGCCGAGCAGAGCAGGAACGCCAAACAAACAAAATACGTTATGGCAGCAAGACGGCTGTTGTATGCAGCCATTGCTTAGTGGCGCCATCTTCAAATTGGCAAAATAGACACATTACAGCTTCTTGGTATTAGTCCATCCAGTAGCTCCCATTCTCCACTTCGCTGTGCCCCACGGGTTTTGATTGCAAGAGGAGCTCATTCCAGTAATATTTTCGCAGTTTTATTCAGCAAACCAAGCCCAGAGGATAGCCTCCTTGCTTGCCGCGATCAGCGCAATCCAGCAATAGAACCTGCCTCTTTCAGTTCCAGCCATGACGACGAAAGTCTACGTAATGTAAGTACTAATTGGCACTTGGCTCCACGTCATGCGAAGGCATCGTGGCCGCACTGACGCTTGCGCAGCCTTCAATAATGATATGCTTCGAGAATTTTGCATTTGCTTCCATTGTACCACTTCCGCTCGCGCGATCAACGAAAATATGTCGGGGCTATGGCATAAATACTCTTTCTTTTCTTCCCCCCAGTTTCTATCTCATGTGGGTCTTTTTTTTAGGCGCCTAAATCTTCTGCTAAGACGTAAAGACTCTGCCTTTTCTTCCTTGCAGTTTCTATTCCATGTATGGCCACGTGGCTGCATTAGCCGAAGAAATCAAGAAGGGTGCAGAGTCCGTGGAGGGGGTCGAAGTCTCCATCTTTCAGGTCAGCTTGTTATCCATGTTATCCCTTGTTTCAACAGATGCGACGATGGGGTAATTCCAACGGAACGGTAGCAGAACACAAAACTAGTTTTACAGCTGACAATTGGAATAAGAAAGGGGTAGCAGATCAGAACCGCGTGGAATGGCTTCCTTGTATCGCTTGTTCTATCGTCGATCTTTTCTTTACGCTTCTGCTTCTTACGCTCCCCTCGATCGCCTTGTGACCGTTGAGTAATTGTCGATGTGAACATACCTCCATAATCTCAGCCTTTGAAACCTTCCAGTGTACAAATGCTTGCGTTGAAATCAAATCGCATTCCCATCTTGAAGTTTGTCAAATCACCCAACAACGCTCCACCGGACGTTCCCTTGTGCTTGATCTCCAGGTTCCCGAGACTCTCTCTGAGGATATCCTCGCTAAGATGCACGCTCCGCCAAAGCCGGACATTCCGTCAATCGACGTGCACAACCTCCCGGAAGCGGACTGCTTCCTCTTCGGCTTCCCCACCCGCTACGGCATGATGGCTGCTCAAATGAAAGCCTTTTTCGACGCAACTGGCAGTTTATGGAGAACGCAGGCGCTGGCCGGCAAGCCTGCTGGTTTCTTCTTCAGCACGGGCTCGCAAGGAGGCGGCCAGGAGACCACTGCGTAAGTCTAAAATTTCGAACATTCAAACACTTGATTGATCTGTCGCTTTGTGATTCTTTGGAATGCTGCGACGAGAAGCACTGCACAAAGCGTCGTAGTGCCGTACCTGCAGCAATGACCTACCCCGTCCAACCCCCTTTCCTCCCTCTCACTCCTTCCGCCAGCACGGAGGATGAGTGTCTGTGAAAATGGATTAACATTTACGCACGGTGCATCCCATGCAGCATCTCTTTGTGCTTCATGACATTGTTCCCACTTCGAATACGCAAGAACATTGATCAAATCCTTCCTACTACTCTTTCCCTTCACGTTCCTTCCCAGGCTAACTGCCGTGACGCAGCTGACACATCATGGTATGCTCTTTGTTCCCATTGGCTACACCTATGGCGCCAACATGTTCGTTCTGGATGAGGTGAAGGGAGGGTCGCCCTATGGAGCAGGCACTCTGGCCGGGGATGGTACTCGCCAGCCCACACAGATAGAGCTGGAGCAGGCGTTTTATCAAGGCCAGTACACTGCTAAGATTGCGAAGAAGCTGAAGAAGGGTTCTGAATAAAGTAGTGCAAGCTTGCAAGCTCTCTTGTTTTCTTTGTTTGTGTGTATGCTGCTTCTTCCCCTGTAGATGTGCCAGATGTATACCTCCCTCCCTGCTGATACATTCAGTATCTCAAAGCGTTGACTGCATGTGCTCAAGCTGATCTCACCATAGGCTAACGTTTTATTTTGCTCAATACTGTTAGAGATTAAGGATCGAGTCTATGAAGATTAGGTGCCCAAATATCACAAAATCGTTGGTCTTCAATTCTGGACAGAAACCGCGATTTCACAAGAAACGCCGTCGACGAAAAACTAACCGTTAGAATTCCGTCAAACTCGAGTATGTTGTAGCGCTAGACCGTGGCTACAATTCCCAATTTGAATCACCTCAAAAGATGGAGTATATCTCGAGTTATGCTTTTTCGGCGCACTAGGGGGTATGCTGCCACATAGAAACTTAACTCACTCACAATAGTTCTCACAAGTTCACAAGTTTCATACACAAGAGTTAGAGTAGCACTAAACCAGGTGGGAGGGAAGAGGAGGACGAGAGGGAAGGTCCCAAGGGAGTCCCCAACCAAAGGAAACTCCATGCCACACAATTCCCCTCTCCATAGGCAACCCCACTTTCACATTTGTCACTTTCCCAACTCATGCCATCCACCTCAACCCACTTGGCCACACTTGCCAACCTGGTTTGGCTTCACCCAACCACATGGCAGCAATCTACAGTGATGGGTTCGAATTCCCAACCCCAAAAGTCTGTACCCCATAAAAGTCAACCCCACAACTTCCCACAGTCGCCGCAACCAAAGTACAGAAAGCATACGAACTCCAACGTTCGTAACTTTCTTGATATTGCTCCGATCGCGACGATTCTTGGCTCGTCGGAAAGCTCTTGAGCAGAGAGCTGTCACTTCAGATATCTGCCCAAGCCAAATTGTGAGAATAAGAGAGGAAATGTGTGCACTAGGAAGGTTGGGAGTACAAGTACAAAACTCTAACAAACTGTACCCCCTATAACCAAACCCACTGTAGCCTACACAACTACAGCATATGATGTTTAACACACCCCCATAGGCAAAGTGGGGGACAACAAGGGGTCACAAGACCAGTCAAGCAAAGCAAGGTAAGCTCAGGGTGGATCACAAAGTCACCACACATTCCGAGCATCGTTTCAAGGCCATAAGGCCAGTTCACATGCAAGATGATTTATGAAGGTAAACAAACAAGAGCAGGTATAGATATATATATCACAGTACAAGCGAGGTCAAGAAGTGAGCAAGTGAGGCAAAGTAGGCACAAGACCTAGCAACGTACAAAAGCGCTGATGATCACAAGGCTGAAGTGCCTTGGTGAAGATATCAGCAGTGTTGGCCTGAGAGGCCACGTAAGCAAGGCGCAGCTGACCACGCTGCTGCAGCTCACGAGCAAGGAAGTAACGAAGAGCAATGTGCTTCGTTCTGTGCTCCAGTCTGTGCTCCCGACACAAGGCCAGCATGGCCTTGTTGTCTACGTACAGGACTGGAGGAGAACGAGGCGGCTCTCCAAGGTCAGTCAGCAGGTAGGTCAGCCAGCGTAACTCCTGAGCAGCCATGGCTCCCGCGTAGATCTCAGCCTCACAACTGGAGCTGAAAACAGAAGACGAGCGGGTGGACCGCCACGAAACAGAGCCGGAACCAAGGCTGAAGGTGTAACCCTGTGACGACCGCTGCGTAGCCAGGTCGTCGACCCAAGACGCGTCTGCGTGACCAGTGAGGACCACTGGACTCCGCCCTCCAAGCACGAGCCCCATGCCCGACGTACTGCACAAGTAGCGCAAAACCCTCTTCGCTGCAGCCATGTGCTCTGGTCGGTGTCTCCCAGGAGCAACATAGCGTGCCAGGATGCTAAGAGGGTAGGCCAGGTCAGGTCGAGTGCAGGTCATCAGGTACATGAGGCAGCCAACAAGCTCTGGGTACGGGCCACTCGGCTCTACGGACTCATCCGAAGGCAGAGCTGAGAGCGAGTGGCGAGTAGACAGAGGAGTGGCCTGAGGCGAGGAGTACGTGAAGTCGAAGCGCTGAAGGACCTGCTGCACCATGTGTGACTGAGTCAGTGTAATGGTGCGGCGTGCTCTGTCCCGAGTGATCTGCAAGCCAAGATAGCTGCGCAGTTCACCCAGGTCTGTGCACGTGTGTCGCTTCTGCAGCTCGGACTTCACGTGGGCGAGTCCAGCAGTGTCAGCTGTAGCAAAGACCAATTCGTCGACGTACACGAGGATGTAGAACGGCGGCAAGGAGGTGTCGGTGCGTAGAAACAGTGACGGGTCTGCAGTAGAAGGAGCAAACCCAAGAGCCGCAAGCGTAGTCCTCAGTGTGTCGTGCCACTCACGCGACGCCTGGCGGAGACCGTAGACTGGCCGCCGGAGGCTCCACTGGGTGCCAGGAGGAAACGTCCCAGTGAAGCCAGGTGGGCGGCGCAGCCAGATCTCCTCGTGCAGGCTGCCCTGTAGGAAGGCTGTGCTGAAGTCCAGAGAGTGAAGCTCGTAGTCACGGTGAGCGGCTATGTGTAGCAGCACCCGAAGAGTAGTCATCTTCGGGGTGGGAGAGAAGGTCTGAAAGTAGTCAACTCCCTGCCGCTGACTGAAGCCTCGAGCCACGTAACGCGCCTTGAAGGCAGGCGGAGAACCTGGCGGCCGCTTTACCCTGAAAATCCACATGCCACTGACGATGTTCGCCCCAGGTGGGGGAACCTCGTCAACGTAAGTGCCTGTGGACTTCCAGGAAGCCATCTCTGCGTCCATGGCTGCCTACCACTGAGAGGAGTAGGGACCCGCTATCGCCTCCGTGTAAGATCGCGGAGTCGGGATGTCTAGTGCATCCGGGTCTCCCTCAGGGGCAAGCAGCGAGGACACAAGATGGGGTAAAGCAGCAGCAAGACACTGGAACTCCTCCTGCCTGTCCTCAAGGACGTCCGTGCTAAGAGCACACTCACCCCCGACGGACGGAGGATAGACAGACTCAGACTCAGCAACAAGACTAGCGGCGTAGTCGAGACGACAGGCAGCAGCAAAGTCGACAAGCTCAGCGACTAAGGCAGACGCAGCAGTAGACTCAAACGACGGGTCAGTGACAACAGTGGCTAACAGACGCGTGACAGTGGGGTGCTCAGCGCGAAACCGGTCAGACTCAGGGTCCGGAACGACAGGCAGAGAGGACGCAGGTGGGGAAGGCAGAGGAGCAGGCAGCGGAGCAGAGGAAGGACGACGGACGACAAGGTGTGCGCTGGGGGCAGGCTGCTGACACGCACGAGCGACACGACGACCGGTACGACCAGGACGAACAGGCGAGACAGGACGCGACGCAGGCTCACGACGCTCAGCAAGACTACCTGTCTGCTCAGTGTAAGGAGAAGGAGCAGGCAGCGGTGAGCCAGCCGGTAACGGAAGACCAGTGGACGACGGGAGAGTAAGAACCTGACGAAGAAGAGAGTCAGGCGGCGGCAGCGACGACGGAGAAGGCGGAGCGAAGAACAGTCGTGTCGGCGCAGCTGCACCAGCTCCGGCAGCTCCAGCAGCTCCAGCAGCGCCAGCACCTCCAGCAGCGCCAGCGCCTCCAGCAGCTCCAGAAGCTCCAGCCTCAGAACCGGTACCTCCAGCGCCAGCAGCTCCAGAACCAGCGTCACCAGCAGCCGCACCCCCAGAACCGGCACCTGCAGTCCCAGGGTCTCCAACCGCAGTGTCTCCCGCAGCAGCACCCCCAGAACCAGCACCTCCAGTCCCAGGGTCTCCAACCTCAGGGTCTCCCGCAGCAGCACCTCCAGAACCAGCACCTCCAGTCCCAGGGTCTCCAACCGCAGCGTCTCCCGCAGCAGTACCCCCAGAACCAGCACCTCTAGTCCCAGGGTCTCCAGCCTCAGCGTCTCCAGCAGCACCTCTAGGCGCAGCACCCCCAGCCCCAGCAGCTCCAGTACCTCCAGCAGCAGAGCCCCGGGCTCCAGCAGCGCGACGCGGACGGCGACCGTACCAGTCGTGCAGCTGCTGAGTGGTGAGAGGCACACGCGGACGAAGGCGGCCACTCCAAGTAGGCCGCGCACCAGCAGTCCCAGTACCCTCAAGCGTCTCACCGCCAGACTCAGCACCCCCAGACTCCACACACACACGCTCAGCACCCACAGACACAGTACCCCCAGGCGCAGAACCTCCAGTCTCCTCACGCGCTAGCTCAGCACCCCCAGACTCCGCACCCCCAGACGCAGCACCTCCAGGAGCACCACCCCCAGCAGCACCAGAGTCAACAGTAACCGGCTGCAGAGGCGGTGAAGAAGGTCGCGGGGGGAACCCCGGAGGGGTCTCCAAGCGTGGTGCGCGGCGGTAGGCCGACGGGGCGCCAGCAGCAGTGGCACCCCACTCGGGTGGGCCAGAGGTGTCGGAAGTGACCTCCAAAGGCTCAGCCAAGGGGGGGGGGTCTACCTGAGACACACCTGAAGGAGCAGGACCCTGAGGGGGGAGGGGGTCTACCGGGGGGGGACCTGGCGTAAGGAAGAGCGGCGGGGGGGGGAGCGGGGCAGTGCGGTAGGGGAAGAGACGGTAGTACGGAACCGACTCGTCAAACGTGACGTCCTGGGAGGACAGAACACGGCGCGAGGTGGGGTGGTAAAACTGCCAACCAGGCGCGTCAGGGGGGAAGCCAAGGAAGACGCAGGGAACAGCACGGGAGGACATCTTGTCCGCAGACAAGTCTCGGACAAAAGCCCGAGATCCCCAGACACGAAACGCAGACGCATCGCCAACCTTCCCCGTCCACAGCAGAGTGGGGGAGGTCCCCGGCATGGAGACCCGGGGCTGAAGGTTGATCTGACGCGCCGCGTACTGAACCGCAAACGGCCACAGAAAATGGGGAGCAGCCGCATGGATCATGGACGTACGAGCGACGTCCATGACCATGCCAATGCGGCGCTCAGCAATCCCATTTTGCTGTGGAGAGGCCGGAAGCGTGAACGTCTGGCGGATGCCCCTCGCACGACAGAAGGCTCGCAGAGGGCCGGAGGAAAACTCCCCACCTCTGTCGGAGTGCAGACGCAAAACAGGAAAGTCAGAGCCGAAACTCTTCCTGAGCTGGAGACGAGCAGCGCGGATCCAGTCGATCAACACCTTAGTGACCTCATCCTTGCGGCGCAAGGGGAAGAATGTTGTGTAACGCGAGTAGTCGTCAACCACCAGCAGGAAGTAACGCTCATGACCCTGTCCACGGACGCGGGCTGGGCCCCACACGTCCATGTGAAGAGTCTGCAGCGGAGCCTCTGTCGGCGGAAACTCGGAGGAGTGAGGAGCGGCGCGCTGCCGCCCCTCGACGCAGGGGACGCAGGTAGGGGCAGGCCCCGGGGGGAGGGGAGGGAGCGACCGGGGAAGACCAGAGACCAGGACACGAGAGGCCATGCCTCGGAGACGAGGCAGGGAGGGGTGACCAAGACGGTGGTGCCAGAGAAGAGTCTCGTGGGACAGGAGGCGACACGAGCAGGGGGCAGACTCAGGACCAGACCGAGACGCCGCAGCAAACACCTGACCCGACGCAGCTACCTGACCAGGCACAGCAACCGGAGGAGACTCGGTAGTGAGGGTGTACAGGCTCGACCCCGGCCGACGGGTAAACGTGGCCAAGTGTCGGCCCGTGTCCGCACAAGTGCAGTGGGTCACCCGCTGACGCGCAGGGGTGAACTGGTCAACCCCCCCATCCTGTAGGTCAGCACCCGCCACCAAGTTCGTAGAGAACGAGGGGAGGTAAAGACCCGACAGGGAGCCAGACGGGACCGCTGGACACGGTAGAACAGTGGAGTAGTGGGCAAGAACAGGACCCCCAGAGGGGTCTGCCAGGGAGACCGCAACCGGCCGACTGAGCGGCGTGAGAGTGGTGCGGTCTCGAAAGAAGGAGCGGGAAGCACCCGAGTCAAGGGTGAAAGTGTGCGACGCCGGAGCAGACGTGGTACCTGAGAGAGCAGACTCACCAGCACCTGGAGCAGCAGACTCACTAGCACCTGGAGCAGCAGACTCACGAGCACCTGGAGCAGCAGACTCACTAGCACCTAGAGCAGCAGCTGCACCGCCCGGGTCGGGCGGAGCACTCAGGGAACAGTCACCGACATCACTAGTAGACAATGCATACATGGCAGTGAGGATAGCATCAAAGTCAAGAGCATAGATATCTACTCTCTGCCGGAGCAGCTCCACCCAGTCGGGGAGCTCAGCCGCGTCGCCAAACTCCGTACGCCAGGCGTCGCTCAGACTGGCGAAGCAGCGGGACGCTGTGTGACCAAACGTCCCGCAAGGCTGGCCAGTCCGAGCACCAGTGCGAATGACGTACGTGCAGCGAGCAGAACCTCGGACCCCCCCCCGCTGAAAGTACCACTCATGAAGCTGCGGGGGCGAAGGGACCGCGCGCACACGACGCTGCAGCTGCACCTGGCCACTACAAGAAGCCCCGAAACTACTCACGCCAGAACGACTCCCACGACGGCCACCCCGACAACCCCAACGAGCGTACCACTCATGAAGCTGTGGGGGCTGGGGGGGCTCACGTGGACGGCGCTGGAGCTGCATCTGGCCACGCCAGGAGAAGCAGCGGCAGTAGAAAGAGTAGTAGCAGCAGGAGCAGTAGAGAGCGCAGTAGCCGTAGGAGCAGCACGAGCAGCAGTAGCAGGAGAAAGAGCAGTAGCAGCAGGAGCAGTAGTAACAGTGGTACGGGCAGGACAGTGCTCACAAGTGGCAAGAAGGGCTGGCGCACAACGGCGGCAACGGCGAGGCCGGCACCCCTGGAGGGCGAGGGCTCCGCGGCAGCTGCAGGTGGCGGCTGCTCCAGGGGCGGCTGCTCCAGGGGCGGCTGCTGCAGAGGCGGCAGCTGCACCAGGGGCGGCAGCTACAGATGGGTGGCTGCACCAGGGGCGGCTGCACAAGGGGCGGCAGCTGCAGAGGGGCGGCTGCACCAGGGGCGGCAGCTGCAGTAGGGCCGGCGGCAGCTGCTGCAGGTCCTGCGGCGGCAGCTGCGGTAGGTCCAGTGGCGGCAACTGCTGCAGGTTCAGCGGCGGCAGCTGCTGGAGGGCCGGCGGCAGCAGCTGCGGCAGGACCAGTGGCGGCAGCTGCTGCAGGCCCGGCAGTGGCGGCTGCTGCAGAACCAGCGGCGGCAGCTGCTGGAGATCCGGGCGGCAGCAGTTGTTGGAGGTGCGGTGGCGGCAGCTGCTTCAGGCTAAGTGGCAGCAGCTGCTGCAGATCCAGCGGCTGTAGCCGCTTCAGGCTAGGGGCAGGGCCGTAACTGAGGCGGCAGGGGCTGGGGCGGCAGCAGAAGTGACTGCAGGGCCGCGAAGGGCGGCGGCGGGGCCGCGCGGGTGGCCGCAGAGGGCGGCGACGGGGCCGTGAGGGGCCGCGGAGGGCGGCGACGGGGCTGTAAGAGGCCGCAAGGGGCCGCGACGGGCCAGGAAGGGGCCACGATGGGCCAGGAAGGGGCCGCGACGGGCCAGGAAGGGGCCACGACGGGCCAGGAAGGGGCCGCGACGGGCTGGGAAGGGGCCGCGACGGGCTGGGAAGGGGCCGCGACGGGCTGGGAAGGGGCCGCGACGGGCTACGAGGGGGGCCACGACGAGCCGCGATAGGGGGCCACAAATGGGCCGTGAGAGGGAGGGCCGCGAGGGGTAGTGTAAGGGGCCGCGAAATGGCAGTTTAAGGGGCCGCGGAGGGCAGTTTAAGGGGCCGCGACGGGCAGTTTAAGGGGCCGCGACGGGCAGTTTAAGGGGCCGAAATCGACGGGCAGGGCGCAAAGGCGCTTCGGGCAGCTAATAAACAGGTTAATGTGGTGGGCCCTTAAAAAAAAACGGTCCTTAAGGACCTGCTCTATACCATGTGAGAATAAGAGAGGAAATGTGTGCACTAGGAAGGTTGGGAGTACAAGTACAAAACTCTAACAAACTGTACCCCCTATAACCAAACCCACTGTAGCCTACACAACTACAGCATATGATGTTTAACACAAATAGCATTCGCATACACTCAGGAAATCCAAACCGCACAAGCATATGACGGGAGACAGACAGACGCGAATGCGAATGATAGCATCACAACAAACTCCCCCTCTGGCTGCCAAGCAAGCATATTGCTCCCATCATTCCACATGTCATAGCTCAAGCATGCATCCTCAATGCACACTCATTCCAGCAAGTTTCATGCCCTTCCAATGCTCAGGTTCTGCCAGGCGCTTGGTGAGAATGTCAGCCGCCTGCTGCTGGGTCTTCACAAGCTCCAATCGCACCTCCTTATCCAGGAGCCTCCTTGTCCAATGCCACTTGGGCCTGATGTGCTTTGTCAGGCCATGAAGACAAGCATTCTTCGCAAGCTTCACCGCCGACTCATTGTCACAGAAAATCACAGTCGGCTCCCTCTGGCACACTCCGATCTCCTCCAACAAACGCCTCAGCCACACCACCTCCTTAGCCCCATGATGCAGGGCCATGTACTCGGTCTCACACGAGGACAGCCCCACCTCGTTCTGCTTCTTGCTGCGCCAGCTCACTGCACCACCTCCAAACAGGCACACATAGCCTCCAATGCTGGTGCCATCCGACTTCACAGAGTTGAAGCTGGCGTCGGTGTAGCAAGTCAAGCGCATCTCCCCCTTGCTCAAGTCAGCAGCACCCCGCTGCTGCCTCTGCCTCACAGCACTATACTCCAAGCCAACTGATGCTGTAGCGCTCACATAGCGGACCAACCTCTTGGCCGCTTCCAGCTGCTCATGACTGGGGCGTGAAACCACACTCGCAAGCCTGGATGTAGCAAAGGCAATGTCAGGCCGCGTGTGGTTAGCCGCATAGTTGAGTGCCCCCACCATGGAGTGAAACAACTTCCAGTCACTCTCCCCCACCACCTCCTCATCAGCACAGGGCTCCACAGTGAACCCCGAAGGCAGTGGGGTGGCTGGCTTCCCTCCATCTTGCAGCCCATACTTCTCGGCCAGCCCCTCACAGTACTTCCTCTGGTGCAACCTCAACACTCCCTTGTCGAGGTCCCTCTCCACATGCATCCCCAGGTAGTACTTCACGTCTCCCATCTTGGAACACTTGAACTGCATCTCCAGCATCTCCTCCACACGGTCGATCATCGCAGACGACTCTGAGAAGAGCAGGATGTCGTCCACGTACACCAGGAGCATGAGGAACTGCTCCTTCTCTTGCAGCAGGAACAAGCTGTGGTCGCACTCACTCTTCTTGAATCCCCCAGCCAGCAGTGTCTCCTCCAGCTTGTGGTACCATGCGCGAGGAGCCTGCTTCAGGCCATAGATGGCCTTCTTCAGCCTGCACACCCTGCCGCTCCCATCGTCCAACCCCTCAGGCTGCAACATGTACAGCTCCTCCAAAATGATCCCATTGAGGAAGGCGGTGGTGATGTCCATCTGCTTCACCCGCCATCCACGGTATGCAGCCATTGACAATGACACTCTCAGTGTTGTCCCTTTCCCCACAGGAGCATAGAGCTCGTTGAAGTCCTTCCCCTTTGTCTGCTGGAACCCCTTAGCCACAAGCCTTGACTTGTAGCGGGTCAGCTCCCCATCAGGCCCGTACTTGTGCCTGAAAATCAGCTTCGAAGAGATTGCCTTCTTCCCAGGAGGCAGCTCACACAGCTCCCATGTGTCGTTCTCCAGCAAGGAGTCATACTCCTCCTTCACACTCTGCTTCCACTTCTCAGCATCGGGCCCACTCAAGGCCTCGGTAAGTGTCTTGGGCTCAGGGACGGCTGCCCAGTAGCAGTGCGCTATCTCCTCCTCATCACACTGCTCAGCCACACTCCCAGCCCGTACCACCTTTGGCTTCCCAAAGCTCGGATAGGTCAGCCGGTTGGGAGGGCGCACATCCCTCCTAGGACGGTCAGCCGCACTTTGCTGCTGCTGCTGCTGCGGCTGCTGCTGCTGCTGCTGCTGCTGCTGCTGCTGCTGCTGCTGCTGCTGCTGCTGCTGCTGCTGCTGCTGCTGCTGCTGCTGCTGCTGCTGCTGCTGCTGCTGCTGCTGCTCCTCCACCTCTGGTTCTTCCTCATCCTCAGTCACCCCAGAGATCTCCTCCCCCGACACGGAGACTTCCACCTGCCTTGAAGGCCGCTGCACCTCATCGGCCTCAATGATCAGCGGAGTCGTGGGAAGCTTCTGCTGCTGCTGCTTCCACTCCTTGTAGTACAAGGACTCGAGGAACTTCACATCCCTCGACACAGTCAGCTGCTGGCTGGTCAAGTCCCAAATGAGCCAGCCCTTATGATCCTTTGCAAGCCCCAAGTGCACACCCCATCTTCCAGAAGCTTCCAGCTTTCCCCTCTTCTCCTTCGGCACATGAAACACCACCATGCAGCCGTAGGCTCTCAGCATGTTGACTGCTGGTGCACTCCCATACCACTTGGTGTAGGGGATCCACTGCTTGTCCCCCACAGTCGCCAGCACCCTGTTCTTCACAACGACGACCTGCCTCAGTGCAGTCACCCAAAACGGATCCGGCAGCCCTGCACGCCCAAGTAGAGTGCGAGCACCTTCCTGCAGGGTCCGGTTGAACCGCTCAGCCACGCCATTCTGTTGCGGGTTGTAGGGCACTGTGAGCTGATGCTGGATCCCCTTCCGCTTCAGCTCCTTCTCAAAATCAGCGCCAATGAACTCTCCTCCGTTGTCGGTGCGGATCACCTTGTGTCCGCTCTCCCTTTGAGCTCTCGGCATCCACTCCTTGAGAACAGCCGCTGCCACATCCCCCTTCGTCTTGAGAGGGTACACCCACACCGCACGCGTGTGGTCGTCCACGATGGTCAGGAAATAGCGGCTGCCCGAGAGCGAAGTGGCCCTCGTGGGGCCCACCACATCCATGTGCACAAGTGCGAGTGGCGCCTTGGCTGGTCCCGTGCTGCTGCTGAAGGGAAACTTCGTGAACTTGGTCTCAAGGCATGTTGGGCAGCTCCCAATCTCCTTCCTTGCCCCCTTCACCTCCAACCCCTTCAAGCTCCCATCCTTCACCAACTTCTGCAGCATCGGAATGTTGATGTGGCACAACCTCTCGTGCCACGTCTCCCAATCGGCCTCACCACTCCCAGATGAAGCCTTTGCCCATGCAGCTGTCGCATCCACACCTGCAAGCACCTCACCATGAGGCTGCTGTGGCTGCTGCACCTTCTTGACTGCATTCAGGGCCCCAGTAGATGGTGCAGTCACCTCTCCTCCCGCAGTTGCCTTAGCCGCTGCCGCTGCCTTTGCCGTTGCTGGTGGTTTCCCATTCCAAGGGATGATGGGCAGCTGCCACAGGTCCTTGATGCAACTGCTCTTCTCCTCCAAATCCCACAGCAGCAACTTCCCAAGCTTTGCACGGCAGCTGGTTGGGCCGAACGTGACTTTGGCCTTGCTTTTCTGCAGTCGGCGCACAGAGAGAAGGTTAGCGGACAAGCCTTCAACCAGTAGCACATTTCCCAGTCCCACAAGTCCCCCATTGGCTCCCATCACCTTGGCATTCCCCACACCAATCACAGGGAGTAAAGCACCTGAAGCGGCAGCCACAAACTTGATCTTCCCAGGGGGTTTCACCTCATCAAGCAAATCTGCCCGCGGAGTCATGTGACTCGTGCATCCTGAATCTATCACCCAGTGAGTGAGGGGGTGCATCACAACCTTCCCAACCGAACCCACATCATCCTCACTCCCTTTCACTTCCTCAACCATGAGGAACAACCCAGGGTCAGCTTTACCTTGTGCACCATCACCTTGTGCACCTGAACCTTGCACAGCGCCACCTCGTGCGCGTTCACCACTTGGCGGCTTCATGCCTGGGGGCGCCCATCCCTCAGGCCGGCTGAAACACTTGAACCACGGGTGTCCAGCCTTCTTGCAGTACCAGCACGCACCCTCCATTCGGGTGCTCCCCCTGCCGCCAGAGCTCCCATGCCCCTCATTGTAGTCACCTCGGCCTCTTCCTCTGCCAAAGCCTCTCCCACGGCCTCGGCCTCTCCCTCCCCCTCTTCCTCTGCTGCCTCCTGCAGCTCCATACCCCTCAGCAGTCTTGTTGGCAGCACCACCTCCCGTGTGGCGCCTGCGGAAGTCCTCCTGCAGGATCTGCTGCCGTAGCCACTCAGGCGTCCACTTGTCCTGCTGAACGTTGAGGGTGGGGATGAGGTTGTCCCACGAGTTGTCGAGCACCGAGATGATCTTGGTGCACTGCTGCATCTCCGACACCTTGCTGCCCGCCGCTGTCATCCTTGCGTAAGTATCCTTGATCTTGTCAAGGACCGGCTTCACGTCGTCTCCCGGCTTCATGGAGAGGGCATCTAGCTCCTTCTCCAACACAATCACCATCGGCAGCGTGTTGGGCTGAACCACATCGCGCAGCAGTTTCCACGCCTTCGGCCCCGAGTCGTCCAGCTCCACCAAATCCTTGATATGCTGGAACATATCGTTGTTGACTGATTGAAGGATGAGGTCGTACAGCACCGTGCTCCGCTCAATCCATTTGTCGCGGGCATCACCTTCCTCGGGCATCTTCTCTTCTCCCATCGCGAGTTTCAGCAGCTTGTAGCGCTTGAAAGCACTCCGCATCCGCCCGCTCCATTCCTCATAGTTGGAGCCGTCCAAAGCCTCGATCTTGGACGGTGGCGGCTCACTCTTCTTCTCAGCTGCTTCTCCACTCTGCTCCCAATCAGAGGTTTCAGCTCCCCCTTTTGCTGTCCACACCGACGTCCCACACAATTTCCACAAGTGTCGGTGCCAACGAAATTTCGGCAGAGTTTCCCCTTAGCGGAAGTCACATGCAACCTCTAGAACACCACTTAGGCACGCCCACAGGCCATGGTGGGTCTATGAGGGTCTTCACACTTCAGTAGACTCTTCACAACGTCCTCAATCAGCTCTGATACCACTTGTTGTAGATTATGGATCGAGTCTATGAAGATTAGGTGCCCAAATATCACAAAATCGTTGGTCTTCAATTCTGGACAGAAACCGCGATTTCACAAGAAACGCCGTCGACGAAAAACTAACCGTTAGAATTCCGTCAAACTCGAGTATGTTGTAGCGCTAGACCGTGGCTACAATTCCCAATTTGAATCACCTCAAAAGATGGAGTATATCTCGAGTTATGCTTTTTCGGCGGACTAGGGGGTATGCTGCCACATAGAAACTTAACTCACTCACAATAGTTCTCACAAGTTCACAAGTTTCATACACAAGAGTTAGAGTAGCACTAAACCAGGTGGGAGGGAAGAGGAGGACGAGAGGGAAGGTCCCAAGGGAGTCCCCAACCAAAGGAAACTCCATGCCACACAATTCCCCTCTCCATAGGCAACCCCACTTTCACATTTGTCACTTTCCCAACTCATGCCATCCACCTCAACCCACTTGGCCACACTTGCCAACCTGGTTTGGCTTCACCCAACCACATGGCAGCAATCTACAGTGATGGGTTCGAATTCCCAACCCCAAAAGTCTGTACCCCATAAAAGTCAACCCCACAACTTCCCACAGTCGCCGCAACCAAAGTACAGAAAGCATACGAACTCCAACGTTCGTAACTTTCTTGATATTGCTCCGATCGCGACGATTCTTGGCTCGTCGGGAGGCTCTTGAGCAGAGAGCTGTCACTTCAGATATCTGCCCAAGCCAAATAGCATTCGCATTCACTCAGGAAATCCAAACCGCACAAGCATATGATGGGAGGCAGACAGACGTGAATGCGAATGATAGCATCACAACAAATACTACTAGAAATGGTTGTGTAAGTCTAAAGCAGTTACCTAGTCAACCTCCAAACCAAAGCTGACCGTTGGTGTTGCAGGATTTTCCCCCTTCTCCGGTTTCCCGCCAATATTCTGGTCAGACGGGACCGGAGAACAGCCCTCGTCAAATTGAAATTCCCGCTGGATGACGACCTCAGCAGAGCGGTTGAGATTGTATGCGCGCGAAGCGAAACGACGATTTCCAGCAGCAGTTGTGATTGGCGAAGGCGATTTTTCTCGCTCAACAAAGCCTCGGGAATGCCGTGGGCCTGGGGTTCAAATGTGGGGCGGAGAGCTTGTTACTGCTGGCTCTCCGCCGTTCAGTTACAGTTGTACTCATTCCCCGCGCACATCCCAGTTTTCTCCCCTCTCCCGTGTCAATAAGAGTCGTACGACCTTGGCGACGGTTTGCGCAGTCGCTGCGACGGCGAGATTCGAGTCTGCGACTCTGTGGATCACTTCCACCCCGCCTCCTCTTCCTTTTCCGCTTTTTTCCGCTACTTCACTTCTCCGCTCGCGCACAGGTAGGTTAGCTGTGCGCCTCATTAAATTACACCGCATTACCGCTTCTGGAAACATCACACCGAGTGAAACCGTGGGAAATGTATGAATCTACTGCCGACGCTCCAGCCAGTTCCGGGACTCAAGCCAGCAGTTTCTCTGCACATTCCCCTGACCACAAGAGTCTGACAGAAGCAGCACTGAACAGAATTCACCTTCTTTAGGGTCTTCATGGCTTTTGTTTCGTAATTACCAAGTCGTTATCGCAAGTTATTAGCTTCGACCCTAGGCCTGTGCGTGTCAGCTCGAGCCAGCCACCTCGTTTGGCTCTCGCCGTCAAGTCCGTTACGTCAAGCGCACTCCTTCGTGCGTCGTTCTTACTTCCCAGGATTGCAGGGACTAAGTATTGTATATCCGAAGCGTCGGGATTCACCACACATTACGCTATTTCAGGCTCTGCTTGAGCCTTTCCTGTAATTCTAGTTTCTCGTGGTCAACTTATTCATATCATCCGCCGTCTCATCCATCCGCGGCTGTGCTGGCACTCGTTATTCTTATCGGATCATTCTCGGCACTCTCTGGTCTTTTCGGGTCATTCTTAAACACTAAGCAGTCTCTTTCGCGGAAGTTGCAGCTGAGCTCGCTGCACTAGCAGTGCGATCTGAAGACCTTCACACCTCAGGACGCGATTCTTGTTTGGTCGTTAGTTAACCTAGAAGTCAAGTCCAGCTGACAAGAAAGACCAGCGAAAAGAGGTTCTTATCGGGGATTCGATATCTGCGGACACAGCTGATCGAGCTCGGAACGATGTGGGGAGCGGCGGGCCGTACGAATGCGCAGAAGATTCAGGTGCGATTAAACAGACTGGTCGTTGATTTCTTAGACTCCCCAAGAACATGCTCGGAACGATGTGGGGATTTGACGAACGAATGCGCAGAAGATTCAGGTGCGATCAGTCAGTCTGTTCGTTGTCGCGTTTTGTGCGCTGGAGGTGACCTATGAGTCGACTCATAAGTCATCGCGAATGCGCATAAGATTCGGGTGCGATCAACGAGACTGTTCGTTGTCGCTGGAATTGGCTTACGAGTCGACTTCAAGTCACCGCGAATGCGCACGTGATTCCGCTGAATACGGATCGTCAGTGACAGTACATCGCAGCGCGCGTGAACTCACCTCCAGGATGGATACTGAAGCTTAACCTCGGGGATTAGTTGTTGAATTTCAATAATTCTTCAATCCGTTTGTGCTCGCAGCCTTGGATCTTTGCCTGCACCCAGAGGGAAGACCACGTGCAGCGAGGGTGTTTTTGAGACGTCTCAAAAACAATCATGCTTCAATCCGTGTGTGCTCGCAGCCTTGGATCTTTGCCTGCACCCAGAGGGAAGATGTTCCATCAGGAATCAATGACTGCCTAGGTCTCTGCTTGATACATAGATAGAACGTCCATGCGTCGCCACATCTTGAAATTAGTCATTAGAAGCACCGCTCTGTCCCCTCGTTTCCCTCACCCTCCCCTCCTAATATTTCCTTATCCGTCGCCTTCTCGCCCTCGGACTCTTTCCGTGCACGTTCCAACACACCCTCCTCCCTCTCCCCGCCCCCGCCAGACCATATTCAGCAAGTTAGTTTGCTGCTCGGCGCGCAGCGATGGCGTGGTGGTGGACGAGGCAAAGCTGCACTGCCTGCTTGTTATCCAATCCCCACTCGATTCCCCCCCTTCCCCTCTCCCCCTGGCCTCCCCGCTTCACCTCCCTTTCCCCTTTCCCCTCCCCCCCTCGTCCTCCTCCCACCAACCCACCTCCGTCAGACCATATTCAACAAGTTCGTGGGTGGCTCGGCGCGCAGCGATGGCGTTGTGGTGGACGAGGCGGAGCTGCAGCGGCACCAGCAGCTGGAGAGGCTGTACAACACGACCAAGTCCGCCAAGGTACGGTTGGGTGCATGCAGGCGAGCGGGACGGGTGGGTGGGTGCGGAGGAGCGGGATAGAGCAGTTTAGGTGGAGGCAGAGCTGCAGCGGCACCAGCAGCTGGAGCGGCTGTACAACACGACCAAGTCCGCTAAGGTGGGAATTGGGTTGTCTGAGAAAATTAGTCGGATGAGGAGGGCGGGGTGGCCCCATATGAGGAGGGAAAGGGAGGTGTGGGTGGACGAGGCGGAGCTGCAGCGGCACCAGCAGCTTGAACGACTGTACAACACGACCAAGTCTGCCATGGTACGGAGGGGCTGGGCGGATTCGCTACTAGAACAGTTACTTGAGCTTACTCAGCTGCAGCGGCACCAGCAGCTGGAACGGCTGTACAACACGACCAAATCCGCTAAGGTGGGTACATATGATTTTACTGGTTAGGTATTGAGAGGGAAAGGGTATTGTTGCTGCAGCGGCATTGACAGCTGGAGCGGCTGTACAACACCACCGAGTCCGCCAAGGTAATGAGAGTGATAGGAACGGTGCCAATGGGTTGTGAGGAGGGGAAGGGAGGTGTGGCGGGCGAGGCGGAGCTGCAGCGGCACCAGCAGGTGGAGCGGCTGTACAACGCCACCAAGTCAGCCAAGGTATAGATAGATGAGTGCAGAGGAGCGGGACGGGTGGGTGTGTGCAGCGGAGTGGGGTAGTGCAGTTCAGGTGGAGGCGGAGCTGCAGCGGCACCAGCAGGTGGAGCGGCTGTACAACACCACCAAATCGGCTAAGGTATGGATGGATGGGTGCAGTGCGGTTGAGTGAGAAGTGCAGGCAAGTGGGGGCGGAGCTGCAGCGGCACCAGCAGGTGGAACGGCTGTACAACACGACCAAGTCTGCCAAGGTAGTGAGAGTGATAGCCATATGAGGAGGAAAGGGATGGGTTGATTGTCTTGGAAGCTGCAACGGCACCAGCGGCTGGAATGGCTCCACAACACGACCAAATCCGCTAAGGTCCCCTTCCGTCCCTCCCCCCCCCCTCCCCCCCCTCCCCTCCTCCCTTTGTTGGCCCATATTCCTGTGCACATTACAGCATTTTCATCGCGAGATGGTGAAGGGCATTGAAGGCATTATCAACGCGAATCTGAAAGCCCCACTCCTGTGCTACCCGTTCCGTCCCATTTGTTCCCCACTTGTTCCACACAGCACTTTCAGCGTGAGATGGTGAAGGGCATTGAGGGCATTATCAACGCGAATCTGAAGCACATCGAATCCAGTAAGGCTCTTCACATCTGGTGGGCATGGGCATGGTTATAGGCATTGGTATGGGGATGGCATGGGCATGGGAATAGGGAGATGGTGAAGGGCATTGAAGGCATTCTCAACGCGATCCAGTAAGACTCTTCACATCTGGTGGGTATGGGCA